TGATCGAGATTAAAGAAGAGGAGGAAGAGGAGGAGAAGGGGGAGATGTAGTCCACAAAGCCCAGCTCAGCCTGGCCCAAGTCGATATTCACCCCCCTCTGTTCCTTCCCTCCGCAGCCCTGCTCTCACGCAGCACCTGGTGCAGTGGGAGGGGATGGGGTGTGAATGCATGGAGGTGGTGGATGGAATGGAGGGGATTGGCAGGACAGGAAAGGGGGGGGGGACAGACAGACAGTGGGAGAAATGGGGCAAAGGGGCTTTTTGCTTGGTCATTAGCAGCCGCAGCCTTCCCTCTGGGGCTGTGGTTCGTTTGTTATCCGGCCGCCCTGAGGGGCCGAGGGCTTATGCTGAACCCCCGACTCGGCAGCATTCAGGTCCAGGCTGCCATCTTGGATATTCTGGTAGATCTTCTTAGCGGCTTCCAGGAAGGCGTCCTCAACGTTTTCACCTCTGAAAACAGACAGGGCATACACACAAATGTGAGCTACACAGAAGACGGCTGATCGGATCTTGTTCTGCAGTAACTGGAAAGCTGAAGTTGTGCAGACTTACGTTTTTGCGCTGGCTTCCAAGAACAACAAACCTGTTCAACATAAAACAGACACAATGACCGAGTCACTAAAACACAGCGCCAAGTGTGCATACCTCAAATACCAAGTCATCATTCACCCCCTCTTTTAATTAATATTGCTCCATTTCTCCTAGAATTTACTGTCCCACCAAAGTAAACAGAAGGATGCTAATCTTGCCCCCTCCCCCTTTAAAAAAAAAAAAAAAAAAATAGAGTTCAAATCAAAACCAACTTAGAGACAGATCACAGATAAAACTCATTTTAGTGTCAATATTTGTGGACATTTTGTTAAGAATCCTGTGAATATTATCCTGTTGAAAGTTATTCTTAGACAGATGTAAATGGATAGAATTGCCTCCCACTGAAACCCTTTTCCACCTTAACCTCCCAGCATGCACCGGTTGGCGTCTTGCTCACCGTTCTCCTCGGCAAACTGCTTCGCTTCCTCATACGTAACATCCCTCTGGGCCTCCAAGTCGGCTTTATTTCCTATGAGAATGATCACCTGATGATAAACACAAGGGAAGAGAGTGTGAGACGATCCCCTGGACACTTTGTCTGGGAGAAATTTGCTGTCTAATCCTTTGAGAGATAATAAAGCCAAGGGCAATCCAGGAAGACTCCACTACGTTACTGAGCTAATTGTTAAGATATTGATTGAGAGAACGTGTGCTCAACAGGATCCTTAGCAACTGCGGTGTAATTAGAGATTTACTGAACTTCTTTCTAAAAGAGTGACAAAATGACTAAACCAAAACTGCTGCACACCACCTTTTTACGTGCCAATTTCTTTTGCTTTTACTGCAGAATTGTTCAGCACTAGGCTGGGCCATATCATACCGTTCACTCTAATACTGGCATTGTTAGGCAATGATAAGAAAATGAAATATCGCGATAGAATATGGCTAAAATGCACATGCGCAGTGCCTTTGTTTTCATACGCACGTGGGGGAAAAGCAGATCGTTGAATGAAACAGATGAACCACAATTGGTTTGTAAAAATGCTGCAACTTCAGTGGTTAGGAACTAGTTTGGCTTTCGTCCGTCAGATACACACCAAAGCACAATTTTTGGTAGAGCACGCTACCGTCGTTATTACCGTGTTTTTTGGAAAACAAGGCACACCAATCCTTTGATTTTTGGAAAAATTGGCAGTGCCCTTTTTAATCCGGCGCACCTTATGTATGAATTCTGGTTGTGCTTACTGACCTCAAACCAATTTTATGTGGTACACGGCGCTCAAAAATCTGTCAAAAAATGTTTTAGTACACCTTTCATAAGCTACGAAGCCGCACCGCTTGATAGATTGTCGGAGCATTATGGCTATCGTAGGCAGGAGCCTCGCCAAGTGATACGTACTGTGCTTCAACATAATATTACTGTACTGTGTGTGTATAACTTTAAGTGAAAATACATTGATGGGGTTTTTTGCACTAATAAAGTTGTGGAGTTGTAAAGTATTTTGTCTCGCGTCAATTATATCGTCTAAAACCAAGGCAGGCAGATGTTGGGAGTTGGGGCAGATGCTGTGACAACACCAACAGTGCCACCACTTTGCCAATTTTAAATACTTCAGCACAAACAGCAGTTCTCTATTTAACAGCTCAGCGTAGTTTTGGCTTTTGCTTTTGGAAGATGTACAGTCATCACTTCCCACAGTGCTATGTGCACTGAACACTCATTTGTGATTTGACACTCTCCTCTCTGGTATGCATGCAAACAAGATCAGAAACCACCTGTCAATGGAGTCAGATCTGCCTGTTTCACTACATTAACACAAGTTTAGAAGAATCCTCATCTTTACAGCTCAGATGAAACACATTTAACCTATTAGACTGATCAAAATTATTCTAATCTGTTATAAATATATTAAGGATAGCTGTATATACTGTTTAGGGACATGAAAACAAATTCTTTGATTTCTTTCCCTCAACCTGAGGCCTTTTCTGTGAAGCACATTCTGTTTCATAGTAAAGGCCTCAGGTTTATCTCCAGTCTTTTTAGTGTTTAGAAGTGGGGTCACTTCCCAGGATACATCACCATGGTAACTTATGCTGAAGTTTATATTAGATAAGAGATCAACTTGTACAGAAATCAGCGCCCGCTCACCAATCAGTCCTCTGAAAAAAAATACATTATAATTCCTAGAAGATCCGGTGGATCTTTGTAAGAAAGTGGGTCTTAGGGACTGTCTAAAGATTTTGTCTCTTTCTGACAAGCATCAAAATTAAAAAAATTAAAAAATAAATAAAAAATGGATGGCTGCAAGCAATGTTACACATGCAAGAAACTCTTAAATTATTCTTTTTTAAAAACATGTATTAGTATAGCAATATCACCCCTAACCCTTTAACTTGTTGATTGCATATAAAATTAATTATGAATAATAATTATTATTGATTTATAGGATTTTATTTCTTCTTTACTTGCCATCTTCTTTCACACTGGCTCTAAAAGAAGCGCCTAGTCACACTGAATTTAATTATAAATACTGTCAGATGTTCCGATGAGTTAAAGATGGGGGATTACTCAAATGTATGTAACTAAAAAATTTTGGGGGGCAATTTCCATGCTGGCTTTAAATAATCTATGTAGCACACTGTCACTAACTGCAGTGCTGTATGGCACTTTAATACTCCTATTCATACTGTATTCTTTCACACATTGGCTGCAGAAGCTCTGCTCAGAATATTGAGCATCACGTGTTTAACTTCTTCAGGTTTATCTAACATTACAGTTTGCTCTCTGTTAGTAAAATAATTCAGCTCTGAAACCAGTAAACCTCTGTGTTTGTGACTGATCACATGCTGCCAACACTGCCTCTATGTTTGTGTTCACAACTAAACTAGGTAAAAGTCTATGTTGACTTTAAGTTGATAACCACCTTTGTATAAATGTTTAGCAGGATTAATAATATTGGTGTAGCTTGATAAAGAGAAGCTAGGTCTGGGTATGTTGGATTCACTTCATAGTAAAAGTCCCAGATAAACAGAATCTGAACACTTTGAAGTTGTTAAAAGTGGGCTGTGCCAGAAAGAAACCAAAAACTTAATACTGTTCATATTAGCTTAGTAAAGTTTATTTGTACTCGTCATTAAAATGAGCAGTGGATAACACAGCTCCATACAAAGCCTGTGTATAGTTGTGACTGGATATACAGAAACATCCCTTTTTGCTTTCTGCCATCTAAAATGTGAACAGGAAGTGTCATGTTGCACAAACACACTTCCCTGATGGAACACAGACCTCTGAGAGTGAGAGCAGGAAGGTTTAGAGCTAATCATATTTACCAAGAAAAACCTATTTAAGAAATGGACAGGCCTGAGTGGCTCCAAAAAGACTAACAGGAGGATGACAAAGGGATAAACAGCATAGCGACAACTTAAAGCAATTAAAAGAAGAGAAATCAATGCAGAAAGAGAGTGAAGAGACGAGGCTGTGGAGACACGTGTGCAGCTTAAGACAATCATTAATTTCAGTGCGTGTACTCACAGTATTGGGGTTGGTGAGGTTTCTGGCATCAGTCAGCCAGCTGCTGAGATGGTTGTACGTGCTTCTCCTGTTTGACATCAGAGGGACAGAGGTTACTATGACGACAAGCAAAGACATAACATCCTGCCATCTCTGAGGATGGATTTGAAAAGAGGCAGCAGCTGCCATATAATACAGGGAACAATAACCATGGAGGAAATCATCTGGGAGTTATGGATACATCTGGAAGTGATACTGCTTTCTCCAGATCATAAGTATAAACTTTATTTATATCAACAGCTTCCTGTGCCTGACAATGCAGCTACCAACTCCAATGCCACATTATCCAAGTTACAGCCTCATTTCCATTTTCCAATAAATGAACCAGTCCTCAAAATTTTATTTTGAGCCATCAAGTTAACAAATTCAGATGCTCTGAAGTCTGCTCACAACATTTCAGGCAGGTTACGGGACAGACAATTCTGCATTGGTTTCTTGACCTCCAGAGACCCGAGCTCTTGTTCCTGGTACATTTTTAATTTCTCCTAGATAGTGGTTAACACATTTGTCTTGCACGCAAAATATTTGGGCACAAATGTAGCCTCAGCGGTGACAAGCTACTCCGTGTGGATAAATAGGTGGGTTGCATCAGAAAGGGCATCCGGCGTAAATTTAAATATCTGTGCCAAATCAAATATGTGAATCCATCCACTAGTGGGGACCCTTTGGGAAATAAGTGAGCAGCTCAGGGTAACTCTGTCAAAGTAACTCTGTTTGCCTGTGATTAGTTGGACTGATAAGTAAAACTAAACTTTGCCTTCGAAAGGGAAGTGATCACTTTCTTACAGAGTAATTACAAAGAAAAACATGTCTTCATATGGTAAATGGACTGGTTCTGATATAGCAGTTTTTGACTCTGAGCACTCAGAGCACATTATACAACACTCCTAATTCACCAATTTACACCTATTCATGTAATAATGAATGCATCCATCTAACCTGGATATTGCACACCCAAGGATATTTGCCTTGCAGCACTGATCGAACCACCAACCTTCAGATTAGCAGATGACCTGCTCTACCTCCTGAGCTAGAGCCACCCCATATAGGGACAATGAGTTTATTCAACAGCATAGCACAGTGAACCGAACAGTGCTTAAAGTACTGAGCAGAAAAAAGGGGAAAGTGCAGGAAAGCTCAAATATAATGAGTCCATATGAACACACAGGCTCTCTGGAGGTTAAAAGAAATAATTTAAATGTTACTTATCCAACACAACCTACAGTCTACACTGGTGTGGCCCATGTTAATAACAAATGTATACATAAAAACAGAAGAATGCAAATGAAAGCCACATCTTTTCATTAAAGGATATGGTTATAGTTAGGTGTATAGTCACAGCAACCATAGATGACAGAGAAAACACTGCGTTGGCACTCATTTAGCCCTAGAGGCCATACTGGAGGTGGTTGCAGTTTGGACAGACATTCCACATGTTCAGCTGTGTTTGCTTGGCATACCACTGATACCATCTAACAGTTTGGGTAAGAAGGTCAGTCGCGTGCAGTAACACAAACTGTTCGTATTTGTTCAGGAGTAGGTGTGCTGGGCTGAACGGTGCAGTTATCAGATGTTCATGCTTTCCTTTAACTTCCTGTTTCTGCACAATGCACTACATGGCTATTGTGTACACTGTCAAAGCTTCTGTGTTAAGCAGTGACCATGACTGCATCAATACATAACAAGGACGCTCTACCTGGTGATGTCGTAGACCATAAGCGCCCCTGCGGCCCCGCGGTAGTAGGAGCGGGTGACGGCCCTGAAGCGCTCTTGTCCTGCTGTGTCCCAGATCTGGAGCTTGATCTTCTGCCCGCTTACTTCGATTATCCTCGTACCAAACTCCACGCCAATAGTATGAGGGCAGTCAGCCATGACTGGGGAGAATAAGTATGTCAATGAATTCTACTGTTGCCCTTACTAATGTTTTTGTATTTCAAGTCTTTCTTCTGTCATCCGTTTTGTGAACTTTAACAAAACACGTGCCTAGTTTGAACTTAAAATTACGTAGTAACAAACATTATTCAATATGTATAGGTCACACATAGCCAACTTGTTTCTACTGTACGGCAGCAGCAGTTGCACATCAATAATTAATCGCAGTCTTTAAAGTCATCACTTTGTCTAAACTGCAAACACTCTTGATGTATAAATTTGTTTGAAACTGCCACTGAAACCCTCTTCTACATCACTCCAGTGTGTGTATGCATGTGTGCACTGGTGTATGGGTGCAGGCAGGATGCGATTGTGGACAAGTGAATGAGTAACACAGCATCTGGCTTGTTAATAGTAGCACTAAACAACTGAGCTGAATGGTAATGGGAGGCTGCAGCTGGCTCATACACAGAAGAAGAGACTCTCACTGTTGAGCTCACACTCCACATCTATGCTGCTGACTTCCGCTGGTGTATAAAAGAAATCCAAAGAGATTTAGGCACTCCAGTTAAACCTGGCAAATCTCACATGCACTGGGACACACGCACAGATGAAAAGGAGTCAAAAGAAGAAAAAAAAAAAAGCAGGGCAGCACTTACATTTCTTTTCTGTGAACTGGTGAAGCAAACATGACTTCCCTACCCCCATGTCCCCTGTGGAGAGAAACTCAGGTCAACCAAGGAAATAACAGAAGAACAACAGTTCTCTATTCAAGCCTGAAGTGTTGCCCCCATGCATGATGCAGCAGACCCTCAGTGACAGTCAGCAACTACACTTAAAATTTCATGTGGACTTAATGAGAGAGACAGGGGAAACTGAGACAGATGGGGATAGATGCACTTGAGTGTATGTGGTCCTGCAGATTTTGACAATAAATGTTTTTTATTGTCAAAAAACATTTTCTCACTAATGGTACATCTATATTATGCTTTGATTAAGTCTGAAGTACTTTTGCACTTCAAAATACCCCCAATAAATTTGCTGTGAACAATATCATACACCTAAGTCAAAGCAATATAAAACTTATATATATAAAAATACTTCTTAATACCTTAATTATCAATAAGAGCTGCAACACTTGCAGAGTATTAAAACTTTTAGTTAAGGTTTCCCCTCCATGCTCCCCAAGTAATAATAAAGAAAGTAAAAAGCCAAGCCCCATCTCTTATTTATTTAGTCTTCTAAGATGGGAACTGAGTGTCAAGTGTGGTGATAAACAAGCTGGAGCTGTGGGTGTGTGTCTGCAAGTGTAGAGCACAAATACAGAGCATGTGCATGCTGAGGCGCACATTTCTAGATGCCAGAATAGGGCTGTGCGATATGACCAAAATCTCATATCCCGATATAAGAATTCTATCGTCCGATAACGATATAAATCACAAAAATGTAACATTTTCTGTAAATTCTGTGAATCTCGGGCAGCTCATCTTGCGGGAAGTGTTTCCAGCTGCGCGTCATGTAGCTGGAGTCGAGTGTTTTAACCAATGCCTGAAACTATACATTTTTAGACATAAGTTGTAAAGGCCGCCTTTTTCTTTGTGAGTATTTATTACACGGCGTGCTGCGGGGAAAAGCCTGTTCTAACGTTTGAGTCTAAGGTTTATTTTTTAGCACCTGGCGGCTCTTTTTTACTTCTCATCTGCTCTTTCACGTGATTCAGTTTATTTTGAAGTCTCAACAGGATCTTGAGCTTTATTGTGAAAGGTTTATGTGGAACATAAACAAGCGGACACGCAATGCTGTTACCGTCGTTGTTGCTAACCACAAGCATAAAAACAGGCGCTTGTCCGTCCGTAGTGTGGTTATATAAAATATAAGAGAAAAAGAGAACTTTAAGAAATTAATATAGCCACTACAGTGACCATCAAAAACAATGAAAAAATATTGCCGTAAACAGTTTATTTTGCGACACCACGAAACAAACGATAGCGTAAAATGAAACGATAGACGTTTTTATATCGCCATCCGATATATATCATTATATTGAACAGCCCTATGCCAGAACACCCCCTTGTTAGAAGTACTCAGTTATGTTACCTTCAAAAATGGACTAATATGACATACGCTGGACCCACTCAAAGCCACCATGTAATGGAAGTACAATAAATGTTCAGTTTGTGAGAAGTGCCATCAATATTGGTCACTAGAGAGCCTCCAAACTGCTGGCAATTGGTACTGATCACTTACCGATAATGATGTATTTGAAAATGTAGGAGTAGTTGTACGGTGCGGTGGCCATTGTGGCTCTGAAACAGGAAAAACAGAAGAACAGTTTAGCCACTTAAACCTTTAACATAGAAAAGCAACTTTTCCTTAAAAGAGGTCAATACGTGTAGATTATAATCATTTGACTTTTACAGTCAGTTTCCCTGAACACTTCCACTAATCTTCCACTCAGATCAGCAAGAGGTTTACTAATCTGGTAAGGTTTTGACTCCATATAAATAAACTGCACATGATGTAATGAATAAGAAAAGACAATTAAGCATGGACAGCTCTTTCTCACACCTTCTGCACTTTATGCAAAAACAACACGATGTGTGGATATAAATAAAACAACAAGTCCTGTAGTAACAGTAATGGAGCCGCTTACTGTTTAATGACTGTGTTACAGGTGTGATTACTGATCTGCAGTAAAAGCTGTACAAATTCCAGCGAGGAGTTACAGGATTAGCATAGTCCTGAAGTGAAGGTTCAGACAGCTGAGAAGGCTGATTCATGACCAAAAGGACTAACTACACAAAAGCTTCAAGAACACAAACAAATTTAACTCATCAGCAATTGAACATGGATTTTTTTTCAATGTTGTTTTTTGTTTCTAATATGAAGGGAAAAACCTGCCAAATACAATTTTGGCGCCAAGCATAAAAGGTACTGACCTTCCTCCAAAGTAAATTTACCAGAACTGTGATTTACATTAAATTGGTTTAGGTTCATTCAAAATACTTTAAATAATAAATGCTATAAATAATGCTTTGAATAAATTTTGTTTATCAAATGGACAAACATAACATGAAAATCCCTATACTCTAATTGTACATAAAGCAACCACAGGGTACATTTCCATGCATGAACTATCCAACAATACTTTTTACTAGATGGAGGGATATTAAACTAGCAGGTGATATGATTCAAATACTTTGCAAAAGTCTTGTCCACTGCTCATTTCCTTTATATTAACTTATCAAGGAAGTTTCCAGTGTTGTTTTTTTTAAAAGTAGTGTTAAGCAGTAGTTCTGCAGGCTTTCTGAAGGTCTTTTAAAGTTTTTCTTTGGAGACTTGCTGCCGAGGCCTGGTCATGGTTTGAGGCTTCATTTCAGCCAGTGGTGTTGGGGATCTTGCCCAAATTGACAAAATTATGAATGCAGAAAAGTACTGTCACATTTAAAAAAAAATAAAAAAAATACGGTCTGTGTCAGTCTGCAACACCCTTACTACAGAAAATCACAAATATGCTTCAGAGTACTCATATCTACGACAACCTTTGAAGGGTGAGACCAGAGAGGTGATGGATCTTTTTTAACAGTGTTAGAGCTTTTCAGTTATTAGAAAGACTTTCAAGAAGGAATCCCATTACCTTCCTGTCTCAATCTCACTTCTGAGAAGGCTCTTTCAGACTTGCACTCCTTTCCATTAATCTGACAACATCACACACGCACGCACACATCTCTTAGCAGAAATAATGCAGAGAACTAAAGGTGTGGTCGTTTGATTCCACAGTTGCTGCTGACAGTGCTCATTTCCAACAGCGCAAAAGACCTGCTGCATGGGAGACATAGCACTGAAGCAACTACTGATGCTTCAATGTTCACAATCAAACCAGAATTACAACATTATATTACAACTAGGTCCATTAATAGGCATTGTTAGGATCTATAAATACCAAATACTGATAACAGTAATTACCGCTTATCAACACTACTCACCATATTGTGGTAAAATAAAGAAATACCAGCAGCTGGCTTACCAGTGACTTTTAAAATCTTAATTACTAGTAAATAAAGTAGTAAGAAGGTATGAGGGTGTCAGTCTTTAATTATTATTATTTTTAAACAATCAATTTTGGTATAAAATTCCTTTAACACTAAGGCCAGGCAAGAAAAGAGAAAAAAAACAACTTTGCCACGCTATTTTTTTTTCTTTTCACCAGATTATATTCATGATTATTGATATCAACCACAATATAAATGAAATCACTGTTTTTCAAGCTTAATTTGAATTAATTTAGATGTAAACACTTTTTTTGGTCAAAACTTCAAAAAATTCACTGTAGAATGTTATACGGGTGTCTCTGTGTGTGTGTGTATATGAATAATATTAAACAAACAAAAAAGGTACGAGAAGTATAGTTCTGCCTCTGAGGGGCAACAAGACTCGTACATGGATCAGATGTGCGACTTGACCACAAAGGTGATGTGGTCACCAAGCCGTGTCTCTACGCTCTGTGTGTGGTTGGCAAAGTGAGAAATGTTTATGCCCAGGGAGTTGGTGACAAGGGTCAATTACTTGAATCAGTTGGTTACATCTGAAATTTTCAACTGTGCTTACTGGCATCATGACTTTTACAATACAAGTTGGTTGTTGCATCAGTGATGTCTGTGTTACTCTGTATTTTGTGTAAGGCGTGGTATAGGAGAAAGTTCTGGGACTGTAGTCTTGTGCTGTGCAGGTAAATGGTCAACTGTGCACATGGCAAAACGATACTTGCCTTTGTAAAAACATGTTTTTGACACATTTTCCAGTGTATGCTACTTTTCTTTCTTGTCAAACTTTAAAAAGCCAAAAATAAATAGCCAACCTCCACACCACTGAACTCTTTGGACCCTCAAATATACATCCTATCCTATATCATATCCTCATCTTTTGGGCCTTGGGCCAAATCTGTCAGGTTGTTATGTTCTATAACGCTATTACTCAAGTTTGAACATTTTGTGTTGTCATTTTGTCTCATCTCAATCACAACCCTAATGTACTGTTGTGTATAACTGCTACTGTTGGCTGCTTCTCATATGCCATTGGTATGAACCTAACGTGATGCGGCTGTTCCAACCACACAACTGGCTCAGCGCAGTGAAATTCTCATTCTCACCTTTCGTGTTATCTGTCAAAACATGGATGGAATGAATTCTATACTGATCTCGTACTTCTATGAAGGAAAATTATTTTTGCAATAGGTACCTTTATTACTGCTGCACAGTATTAAATTGAGATGCTGCTGTACACAATTGACTGCTGTAGGAGTAGTAAATAATTCAGACTTAATCAAAAGAATAATAATTCAGCAGACTAATGATTTCTCTGTAACTTGCAAAGATAATCTGCCTTAAACCAGTGTCATTCTCACATGAAGTTCAAAGAAAACTATACTGCAGTCAGAGCAGTTCCTAGAAACTGAAATCACAGTGCCCGAGCACAACACAATGCTGGTTTTACGCACGAACTTCTACATCTGCAGATTGGTGACCAAATTTGATTGGTCAGCTTAATTTAAACGCAAATCGTTAGAAATGCATGTAGCAAGAGAAAAAGTGGAAATAGAAAAAGCAAATAAGTGGAAAAATACAGACAGCAAAAGAAGAAAAAAGTGCAAGAAACAGAATAAAAAAAAAATGAGTACATGGTTGAAATACAGACATAAGACGCTGCAGGCTACTTAACTGAGGTTGAATCAGATAAAGATATCAATTAAACTTTAGCTTTTATAACAGTAAAAACAATGTTGGGTCACAAACCCTCATGTTTGCACATACTCATATTGACTTGAGCTTTGACTGAGGAAAAAACTGGAAATGTGACAACTGAAAACAAGACAGAAATATAGGTGTACAAAGACAAATTAAAACTAGACAGCTAACAATGTAGTAGTTGTACTTCCCTTAATAAGAGAAAAGGTTCCTGAGTGTTATATTTTCAAGAGATGTAAACAACTCTTAGCGCTAGCAGTGCCTTTGTGACTGTGTTTCTGTGGGTGGTCCAAGAAAAGATTTGGCACAGTCTTCTGCAACTTGACCTGTGCTTTAGTGCTTAATCACACCAACAACAAGCAGCTAACTACAGCAAAAAAATAATATATATAAAAAAATGTATGCATAAACTTGCTATTTATAAATCCCCATATTCTATCCAAGTACCAGACTTGGGGTTGCTCCATAAAAGTAATAAATTACACAGTACCTTTTGCTCACTATTCACATAAGTGAAGAACCTTTGTAATGAAATTAACAATATAAGTGTAACTGTAAAGTGATTACTGAATTTAGTACAATAACGCATTATGTTACTACATTACCAAAAATGTAATCTATAATCACTGGTGGATACCTACATTATTTCTACATTGTGGCGCATTATCGAGTCTGAAATCATCATGAAAAATCACAAACACAGTAGACACAATGTATGTTTAATTAATTAAATTAAATGTATTAATTTCATTAATCCCTACAGTGTGATTCATGTGGGTAAAGACAAAACATAACATTGCACTTGTGCTCCACACCATGATTTAGTATAGGACCTTGAAGCTGTCACACCTCACTACCATCCTTTTAACTCCCAACATATTGTTTCACACACTCTTTTTCTAGGCTCCCTGCTGTCACATGACCCTCATGTGGTCTCTCTCCAGCTCCAAAGTGATGGCCTGTTGATCTTTCTTCCCAGAAAGAGCAAAAGTAAAATGTGACTTGGCTGTGACATTCGACTTCATTTTACACCCCTTTTTCCTCCCACCGCTACATATGGCATAGAAATAAACCCCATGAGTATCAGTCAAGGAGAAGGCGAGTCAAGACCATGTGACCAGACTGCAGCCTCAGCACTTCTCCTTTCCTGAAGCTTTCTCTAGAGAAACAGGGACACTGCCTTTCTTCCTCTCAACAGACATTCCTCATAGAGGCAAAGAGATGATGTGATTTCAGGAAATCATGACACATATAGTCACACTGTCTCCGTGATGTTCAGACCCACCATTTAAATCACGTGACTAAAAAAAAACGTGATACCCCATAGCTATTATATACACTCTTGAAGGACGCTACCGCGATACAAAAATGAGTGACGTGTTTACATGCTTACAGTAAAACAAAAAACTAAATATTAAGTAACGCGGTAATAATTTACGATAAAGTCCACTAACACACAGTGCACTAACACCAGAAAAAGAAATGATGCAGCACTTTAAATGTCGACGAAGGCAAAGCTATCCAAATTTCGACCATACAAAAGTTACCATCGTTAACTTAATGACCAATTTTATTTATTTATTTTAAATCGTGTATGCCTGCTCTTTGGAAAAATGACACCCAAATAAGAAGCTAATACACTACCGGCTAAGGGATTAGCATTGCAGTACAGGAAAAAAAAATCGCTTTATTACAGTTATTCCTACACAAAAACAAGGAATTAGACGGGCCAGTCAAATCCATCGTCAAACCCGACTTGGATATCGGAGGTTGACCCTTCAATATGGAACCCTAACGAAATGCCTGTTTCTTACCGACGGCGACTAGCTTAACGTTAGCTTGACAACCGGCAAAAATGACAGCGTCGCTATGACTAAATCTCTGAGATTAGACTCCATGCATGAAAAAAAGAGTGCTGCTACGAAGCGGAAATGGATATAAAACCTGATACTGACTTGAACAGACATTTAGATGGCAAATTCAGATAAATATACGGCCTTAAATTGGATGTTTTGACAACCAAGTTTGCGTTAGCTAGTCACCTGCTAGCTGACAGAGACGGATAACAACAAATCCCATAAATCAAAGCACATAAGCCACCTGCCCTCATCGCCACACAAACAGCTGATTTAAATGCATTATTGAGTAAAAACAGGTTCAGAAACGCAACCTGGCCTGAGCCCAATTTCATGAAAAATGCCTCAATACACCAAACTAACGAAAGCTAGCGACAGTTTTAGCAGGCTACTTTGTCAGCTAATGGCAAACACGTAACGCGTTATCTTGTTAATTCAAGCAAATCAAGCCCTTTGTCGTAAACAGTAGCATTTTTTCCATAACCGTTTAATATGTGATGCCTCACAATATTGGACTTAGAACCCAACCTTGCATTAGTCATCTGTTAGCTACCATCGTTAGCTTTCCACCTAGCTGACTCCTGGAAAACACAAGAAAGCTTAACACTTCAAAGGGTTTCTTCGTTTAAATATCAGTTTCTCTACGTTTATTACACATTACACGGGCGTCTATGAGTGCAATCAAATACCCCCCTTCTTCTGTCCTTACCAGATATTAAGTCTTTTGCGCTTTGAGCTGTTCACAGGAGGTATGCAGGTTATCCTGGCTCAAGTATGATCTGTCTATCCAAGATGGCTGCTTACGGCACAGGGTTTCCTCCGCTCTATACAATGGGCTTCTGGGACAAAGAGCCTCGTATGCGACGATTTGCAACTTGTGCACTGCCTCCTCGAAGGTAATCACCTTCACAGGTGTATTCTTGCAAAGGTTACTACTCTCGTAAACTGCCTAACAGGGAGCAATCGTCATGTCACACTATGAAATAATCACTTTGGTGAAATCATGAGAGGGAAAGTTCAAAATTTTAGCAAGCTTCATCTGCCACATGAGAGGTTTAGGCTTGTGGAGTACGCTCAAATGCATCTGTTCAGCAGATGTTAAAAGAGTTACAACAGCACCATTGCAACACAAAACAATACTAGAACTCCATCGAGGGGCATCGCTAAGATCTTGAAACACTGTGGACTTAGCCCAACCATGAAATCATTTGATTTTCACTGAAAACAGTGGCTTAATATATTCTTACAATATGATTACTATATATTTTATAGTATAGTTAATATAAAATGTCAGACACTGTGCTTCACCCTTATAATAATTGGCAATGTTACCAGCGAATGGCCTCCAAAACCCTAAAACTGCATAACACAGGCTTCACATCCTTTCACAGCAGAGTTTGCAAGCCTATCCAAATCTATCTATTTAGACATATAACACTGGCCTCAAAAATGTACCATAAGTAGGGGCTTTAAAAATACATAATTTTGATAGATGCACAAAAAATAGAAGAGTAAAATAAAATAAAAATTGGATAAGAAAATAATTCAGCAAGATGCATGTTTTCCTTCTTTCATGTGATCTTTGCTCTGATTTTTTTGTTTTGTAGATGACAGTTTGTGTCAAATAAAACGTGTGCTATAATTATATATTATCACAATATATGTAAACATATAACTCTCCAACCTGAGCATCCTTCAGTTTTTTAAGACAGTTGTCAATATACTAGGTGAACTGTTTTGTTGTTTGCGCTGGTTATGGTAAATGGACAGGTTCTTAAGCACTTCATACAACATGCCTTATTCACCCATTCATTCAAGCACTTTTTTTTGCTATGCGTAAGTGCTTCTGTCTAACATTCTGACACATTCACACTCCGATGGATGCATCAAAGAGCAACTTGTGGTTAGTATCTTGCCCAAAGATATTTGGCACGCAGACTGGAGGGATCAAACCACCAAACTTCCCATTAGTAAATGACCTGCTCTACCTCATTTTTTGCTCTTTTAAATTTTGATTTTTGATTTTTGTTCTGATTATTCTGATCAGCACAATGGTGCAGTGGTTAGCACTGTGGCATCACAGCAAGCAAGCAGCTGACTTGGGCCTTTCAGTGAGGAGTTTGCATGTTCTCACCTTGCTTCCGTGGGTTCTTTCTGGGTACGTCGACTTCCTCCCACAGTCCAAAGATGTAACAAGTAGAAGAAAATGGTTTGATGCAAGTTCAGACTATATGCACAAAAATAAACTACCAAAGTTCAAACCCATTTTCTTTTGAAAAATATCAAACATTTTAATATGTTTTCCACAATATTACATGCTGTCACTGAACAATATTTCTTTTTACAAACATAGACAGAAGAACCACATGCACTGTGCGTTCCCAACTAATAATAACATTATAAAACAATTCAATATGAATAGCCTGTGAGTTCACAGAGGACACCACACAAAAATGTTATCTTAAAAATGATAGTGAACACTTTAACCAAGGAAGGAAATGACTGTCTTCCTGTACAAGTGAATTCAACTGAAGTCAGTGTGTTACTGCTTTGCTCATACAAAGTGTCATTACTCACTTCCATAATATTTCATACTTTAAGGTACAGTAAGTGGATGTGGACATAAATTCACTAATGGCTGCAAGCTGCTTCACCATTATTTTTTATTTACAAGGTTATTTTTGCCACCCCTCTGACTGTAAGTCCAAGCAATGTGAACACCACAATTTAAAGGTGCATACCAATAAAGCCATACTGAGCAAAAATCCCCCAATTCAGTCCTACACATGAGCAGCTACGAAAAGAGGCCACTGATTTTATGTTTCTCTTGAGAGTTATTTCACATCACAACCACATCCTTAGCAGTAAGAGGGTGAGCAGTGCACAGATATAGTGGAGTGTGCTGGGATGCCAGAAGGGGGTGCTGTTACATAGGTCTGAGCCACAGCAGTGGATTCGCACCCCTGGCAGTTCTTGTTGCTGGCAGTGTCTGGATGTAGCGCAACCACTTGTCAGGACGATACCCAGGGCCGCTGCAGGGACAGAAGGGAGAGACAGTCAGTCAGTCAGTCAGATAAGAGTGATTAGCTGGTGTTTGGCTCAGCAGGAAAAAAAGCAAAAGTAAGCATTAAATACTGCAAGTGTATAATGAGGAACACATTTAGAGATCTCCACGGGATATGCCTACACAGCTGAGAAACTAATCCTCTGACAAAGAATGCATTTTGTAGTCGTGAATAAAAACATCATCACAGTTTGGAATCTGGCATATATGTGGTGTATTATTTGATAATAACTAAGAAAATACTTGTGTTCTTAAATATGCACAAAAACTCCAAAATGTTTGCCCCAAAATTCTGACTTTAACTAATTTAATAGCGTTACACAATTAAAATGTAAAATGTTACATTTGATGGAATCTGGTCAAGTGAAATTTACTTGACTCGTATTATATTGTCATGGTTCCTGGGTCAACGATCCAGTGCTTTGAGATTTGTGGAGTCAAGATTTATTTTGAGGATTTAAGAAGTGATTTAAGTTAGAGGTCTATATTATTCCTTCCTTTGTTTTGTTTCCCAGCCCTTCTGAGTTTTGTTATGTTTCTAGTTCTGTTCCTTGGTTGATGTTAGTACCTCTGTGTGTCTCTGTCTGGTCTCCCTCTTTACTTGTGTCAAGTTAGTCTTTCATCCCAGTTAGTCACGTCTCTGTGTTTGTTTACCATTTTGTCTGTGTCAAGTTTGTATGTCTTTGTCTCTGTCTCATTGTTATGTTTCCTGTTTTATTTTGACAGTCCCTCGTTTTGCTTCCTCCTATCTCAGATTCAGTTCAGCTGTGTCACCTGGTGTCTCCACTTTGCCTTATAACTGCCTGTGTGTACTTAAGTGCTCCGTTTTTGTCATTTCCCAATCTTGTTGTTGTCAGTCCTCTGCATTTTGGTCCACAGCTACCCTGTGGCATATATTTAGTTTATACCCAGCACATTTTCCTTAAAGATTAAATATTTGAACGAATAAGCCTTTGATTCAAAATTCAAGATTCAAGGTTCTTTATTCGTCACATGCATAGTTATACAAGTATAACACGCAGTGAAATGTAACCACATGCAGTGAAATGTAACCTAAATGTAACTGAAATTTTATATATTTCAGTTTCATTTTACTCAAAGTTATTGCTTTATCTATTTTGAAGGTGAAAAAAATTCTTTCTTGAAAGCGTCAAACAAAAAATTGTAAGCTGTCAGGATTTTTGTTACTTGTAATCTGCTCAGGGACTTTATTTGGTATGCACCTCAACCACTTTGCCTTGAGGGTCCCAAAGGTTTTTTTAGGCATTTTATATATGTTTTTAATTCAAAATGTATTGATGCATACTTTTAGTTTGCTAGTTCTTCTAATCAGCAATGCATTTCCAGCATTTTTTTCATTTCCTCACTCATCACCTTCTTTATTAGCACCAGTCAACATCTCTTAAAAGACAAACAGCAAACTAACTTCCCCAGATGGCGAAGCAGTTGTTATTTATCTAAACGCAAACAGAGTGATCACGTCTGAGATCCGCCGGGGCAGCATGAAAAGATTAACCTGGCTAATAGTCGATCTGCTGTTTACTTTAAATACTTTAAATACTAAAACATGCTTCAACTAGGGGTTAACTGTCTTTGCATATGTTAAATGCTTATTAATAACAAGCATTACGGTGTCTCCTGAAAGTTGTGGCTTACAGTGAGCGAGCACTATCAAAATTTTGGCAACAATGGTGTTTTTTAACAGTTAAATTACCTCAGCGCTCATTTTAATATCACACAATAACAATATTGGATATTTTGCTCTTCTTTATTTCTGTTATAACTCAAAGGAAGGAACACCGAACTTGTTGGGGGTTAAGGGCAGATGTCTTGGGGATATGAGGATAAAGGGCACCAAAAAATCTAAGACTCTTACAGAACTTCAGGAGCATCTGTTTGATTTGCTTTGGACGGGGTCACAGGAAGATTAGCAGCCTGTCCAGCCACATATTACTACCAAGACACAGCTACAAGATTCTGACAAAATGCCTGTCATACTGTGTCTGTCAGGCTGTCATCAGAGCTTGTCTGAGCTTGCTGTTTCTCTGAGCCAATGGAAAAAGGTGCCTCATCAGGCTTTTGGGTAGGAGAGGTTTCTTCAGATGTCAAGCAAAAAACAAAAAATCAAAAATGAAACAAAAATAAAAAAGGTCTGGATTGCCCACACTTCTACGAATGTATCCATTTTACCATCAACACCCAGTTTGCCTTAACATGAAACAATGAATGAGTTACAATTTGGTCAGCAAAGCACACTACAGCAGAGTTATGTAACTATCCTCTGCGCTGGGACAAGTCGAATATTCACTTCAGCGAACAAAGAACATTTACATGAAAGTATGATTAAAAACGATTACGCCAATGTCCAGCGGTACACTAGAGTCAATTCGTCATGATTTTATAATCTGCTACCCCATAAATATTCTCCAAAGAAATATCACACACAAGCGCATTAACTCACTGTGTTAAAGGATAAAGAGAAAAGGAAGATAATCATTAAGCACTCACTGCTCTCTGTCTTGATGCAGAAACGATGTTTGAAGCCTTTGTGAGAGTGGGGGCAGGTGATGACCTCTGGGTTGGAGCAGCCCACGTCAACGTACCTCTGGCCCTGGATGATGTTACAGCCATAGCACTGCAGACTATGGACTGCAAGGAAAGCATAGAACAATAAATACAGTGTTTGAGTGCTTTACTAGCATTGAGATCATGGGGAAAATGTACAGATAGAAGAGATATTATTATGGAATTAAATTGCTTAGATGATGGAAGAGCGTATTAGTCTTATCAGCTCACACATATTGTGTGTGTGGCATCCAGAGAACCCACTGTTTTTACTGGTAGACCTACTTAGCACCATCACCATACGCTCTTATTGTTATTTTTGTGGTTTCAAAATGTCACTTATATATAAAAGGGAAGATGTGAATAGATTTGAAAATAATATGCTTATCTGTCTAAATTATACTCCATCCAGTAAAATACACCTACAACACACGAGAGGCCTTCTGAAAACAAAGGGTGTGGAAAACAGTACAGAAGTGGAAGAAAGGTGGATAGTATTACTTTTCATGGCAGTTACTTGCATTTGTCAACCCTTTGATTATCATAACACAGTTTAATCCCTGAGAAAATTCAGATTTATGAATGTCTGACACATTTAACTTTGCTCTTGGTGCATGACGTCATTGGATTTCTTGGCTTCCTGTTGTCTACTAATCTATTATAAATTAAGTCCGCTGAGTTGGTTTGAATATTAGCTAAACATAACAGCCAGGCCTTTTTATTTTAAAGGCTGTTTAATGCTGAATGCATAAGAACCACCTTCAGTGTTAGCAGTGGTGATATTTTTACTTTAACTAGCATCCAAATCTACACAAGTGACATCTTCACTGACTCTGATTTGTATGTTCTATCTTTATGGGAGTTGTAATGATGCATTTGCATTCATTTAAACTGAAAATGAGCAAAATTTAAACCAATCCTTCACTTCAAGCACTACGTAATGTGTTATTTCATGAGATGCATGCGACCAAGATTCCTACGTAACGCTTGTGATCTCTTAGCCAAGTCTACCATTCAACTGACTAAAAGCAGTGGAAGTTATAACAAAGAAGGCATGGGGTAAAACAACATTAGGTTGTGCTGTTTATTTTGCATTTTTAACTGGCACAGAAGAATGAGAGATTTATCAGTAAACATAATCAGCTTTCAGAATGAGTTCATATACTAAAGGGTGGAGCTGGCGGGTGGGGCTCACTGAAGTGTAACAAATGGCAAGGCCCTTTAGTTTGACACACACAGAAGTTACATCCAGTAACCTTTGGTGGGAACATTTCTCCACAGTTGTTGCTCCCACACTGAGACATTTTAATAATTAATTGTTGTACTTTATCCATGATTAATAAGAAATTATTTTTTTACAGCTATTGCAGATTTTTTTTTTTTTTTTTTTATTAACTGAGGGTTATATAAAAAATGTTCTGGCCCCACCACCACTTATGTTACTAAAAGAGAAGCTGCCACTGATTTTATCGAGCTTGTCCGGGATTCTGCTGCAAGGATATTAATGAAAATCAATAACAGGGAGCACATCAGTCCAGTCATAGCAAAGCCACACTGACTCCCAGTATCCTATGGAGCTGATTTTAGAATACTTGTACTTGTATGTAAAATCTTTAATGGTCTTGGATCATCTTACATGTCTGACACTTTATGTCCCAACTTGCCCTCCTAGATCCTCCTCTGTCAAATTGTTAGGTATCCAACTCTTCAAAGAGAAAAGTTTAAGCCCTAAACTCTGGATCAGCCTACCTAAAAATATTAGGGAGACAAACTCTATGGATATTTTCAAGAAAATCTTCTAAACACACCTTTTTAAATCTGGCATTTAACAACAGCTTCCTCTTAATAATAATACCATTCCACAGCCATGCCTTCAGTAATCTGGCAGATACAGAGTTTTTTCCTCTCCACAGTTTTCATATCTTATTGGCCCTTTACTTCCAAGTTTGAATCTTTTTCACATTTCTCTGTTTTATGGGATTTCATGTATTATTTATTTTTTATATATGGACTGTTTAAACAATTGTGTGTGTGTGTGTGTTGGGGGTATGTCTATATTTATGATGGGTTGTTTATTTGTTAAAATGTCTTTTTTAATATTTAGACAGAGCCACCTATTTTTCTTGCATGTTTTTTTATGCCTGTGAAGCCCTTTGGATTTCCATGTGTAATATTGGGCCATACAAATACATTTCAGTTGAACTGATTGCAATACAGTAGAAGTTATAGAAGTATTTCTTTGAATAAATAAAGCTCCTCAACCAATTCTTTCATCTTTAACGTCCTCCCTTTCCCGTGTAATTGTCTCTCATCTGGAATGCCTAACTCTTCTAAGAAAGTGAGGCTAAGCCTAACCAGAACAAATCCACCAGAGCTTAAAGGGATTGCCCATGAATTCAGACCCCTCACATACCTGCGCCTGACCTCCCAAATCCTGTACACACAAGATGGAAGATCAGCTTTGGCTGAAACCAATCCTCTCTCTTTATCTGTGCAGCCCTGTGGACTCAGAGTGGGCAGAGAGCGGACGCCAGCCTCTTGCTGCCCTGCGCCGTTAAATAGCCCACCAAAAGCTCTCATGGAGCTTTCAGGAGTAAACTAATCCCAGGCAAATGCTCTTACAAAAATCACTTTAGAAATCTGCTGGAATCAATGTAAAGCCTCGCAGGGACACAGAGCATGTGCCAGTCTGTAGGGGATGTGTCATATTCCCCTGTTGGTAGTAGTGAAAGCTCACATAAATACTGCAGTATTTCATTAGAGTGAAGTAATGGCTGTGGAAATGAAAGCAGTGAAATAGTCATTTACATCTGGCAAATAACCTGATTTAACTGTCCAATGTGCTGAGATGTTACACACAGCTCTCATGAAACATTAAAAAGCTGCCCTATATGAGCATTTGTCAGCATAATGAGGCCATATTAGAACGACATTCAGCTCCCACGATACAGTGCAGTTTATTATATGAGTATACACACGCTCCTCTCCCAGTATGCATTGCAAATGCTGATTAACTCTGAATCTTTTGTGACCCGAATCCAATTTTATTCATTCATTAGTTTCAAGCACATGCAAGCACCACATTTGTTATCTGTCATCATGTAAAAACTCAGCCATGTTGTTGCCATAGTATTACTATGAGCTTCATGGATTTTCTATAAGAATTAGTTTAATAAGAAAGAGACACAGGGATTAAAAGCAGTAGAGACTATTGCCTCTCTGTCTCATTATGTGGAGTTGTTTTTTCCCCCTTTCTCAGCAGCTCTGAGATAAAGGAGTGCTCAAAATGATCTTTTAATGCACCGTAAACACATTAAAAAGAACTAAGTGAAGGATGATGGCTATAGTCAAGCATTATAATGCACAATAGGTGATAAATGGTGTGCTTTCGTGGTTTTATATTCCAGAAATGCAATCATTTATAAGTGGAAGTGTGCATATGCATTTGTTTTGACATATCTGTGCATTTCACAGATGCCAATATCGATAAACAACAAATCAATAATCTGCACAGGAGGTGAATTCAACCCTGCGTCTGAAGTTGATAGCGGGTTATGTCTTACTTGGATAAAACAAAGCAAAACGATGTCTCAGAGCGCTACATTTTCTGTTTGCCTGGCAGTCACTGACACAAACGTTATTGCCAAACTGAGTCAGGTCAATTGCTATTGCTCTACAGGGAAATTCATTTAGCCTTTTATGGATGTTACCTATTGTTTGGAGGCATAGATTTTAACTCCCAGGTCAATTACAATCAGAACAAAGCTATATTAACTGGAATGAGCTTGAAACACACTTGTTCACCATATTAATGTGATGTGCTCTGCTTTCGGTCTAAATTTTGATCGAGCTGTTTGTTTTATTATTATTGCTGTTTGTGTTATTTTAATGTTTTGCAGATGCATAAAATTAATATTAACAATACTTTTGCTGTATTTATTAAATCCTGCAGTATATATAGAGGATTTTTTCTATCACTGGCAATCATGTCTTTAATTACTTTGAATGGAAAAGACTGTTTTAAGTGAAGATTATTGTATCTGGGCTATTACTAGGACTTAGGGCATGCCCCCCACCCCCCACCCCCACCACACACACACAAACACACACCTCCACCCCCACCTCTATCTCAACCCACAGACACAAACGCACATTGCTCATTTGGTCCTTTGCTCTAAAAGACCCACAACACATATTTTCATACCAAAGAATACATCCTACCTACCTCGTGCAAAGCAGAGCGTCCAAACCAATATAAATCCAAACCCATACACCAGCCAGGTATGTAAAGTCATGGATGCAGCACAGTAGTGACAGTCAGTGGTCTGCGCTGAAGGACAGGTAGGCACAGATTTTCCCTGCTCTCATCTAATACCACCAAACCAGGCACAAAGAGAAATCTAGCAAAGATCCCACTTTCCAAACACGGAGCAGCCCAGCTGTCTCTCTCCACCCCTGCCTCAGCGAAGCTCGCGCAGCGTGTGAGCGAACTGCCAGTGAGAGTCCAGTGAGAAAGGGAGCCAACCATCCAGGGAGTCAAGTCAGCTCAGCAGCCAGTCAGGCAAAGAGACGAAGGAGAGGAAGATGATTGAATGAATTAGCTAGACAGACCAGTGCCTCCTTCAGCGAGCGCCTCGTGTCCTGAGAAGCAGGAGCTGGCAAAAGTTTGAGCACAAAACAGAAAAAAACATCTCATCTCTCATGTCAGCTCCTGAAGAAAACAAATGAGAACACAGATGAACAGTGAAGCAACGAGTGTGGTCCTTTTCCAGTTGGGTCAAGCACATCAGTCAGGATTAATTCCTGATTGATAATCCATTGCTCCTAATAATAGCTCTATCACAATGTGTTAAAAGCCCAGCAGCTAAATGGGATGGCACGCAGGGGTCCTGGGTTGATGTGTGTTTAAGTGTGCATGTGTGTGTCTCTCAGAGAGGGAACAATGCCAGAGGACTTGCAAACACACTTTCCCAATTGGGCAGGTTATCTGAGCTTGGTGTATCACTGCACTTGCACACTGTGGAGAAAATTCTATCTAATCAAGAATTAAAGACTAAATCCTTTCTTAGAGACTGTAATACCAGCGGATAAGGCAGGCTTTGTGGTAAGCCCTCATTCCCTCCCCACCCAAAGCTACATATGGTCTGGCCTGATAGATGGCTGCCGATGATTGCTATCATTCATATTAAGACATATTGACAGGGTCAAAACCAGATTTTGCCACATATTTTTGTATGTTTTCAACACAGATGAATGCAGATACGGAATAATTTTATTAGAGAGCACATTTAGGAATTAAATAGATAATCATATCCTGCAGTTCTTCTCTTTTGTTTTGTGTTCCACTTGCGCGCACGTGCCTCTTGTTATTAGTGCAGCAGCGTGTCAGTTGTCTCACTTTTTTGTGTTTTTATCCATGAGTCATTGTTTGTGAGAGTGTGAGAGAACGACAAACAGAGCAAGGACAAAAAAAGTGAAAGCAGTGTCTTAGTGAAGTAGAAAGGTTTATGTGGACAGTTGTTGTGGGCCTAAGGAGAATATATCCATGTGGGGAGAGAATACACATTATTCAGCTAACTGTGGAAGTAATACTGCCCATGCTTGCACACATGGAAACACACGCGCAGCTCAGCGTGCCACGGTTCTGATTCGTCATGGTCAGGGCTGATGAATCTGTAATGTGAAATTTTCTTCCACGTCTTACCAAAGCAAATAAAAGAGCAGTGCTTGTGAAAGTCCCCATGCTGATGTGCACATGCCGTTTTAGTCACAACCTTTTTCTTCTCTCACCATCTCACAGCCCTTATTCATTTACATTCTGCTGAGCTGCTTGAGTCTTTGAGTGATAAAGCCATGAAAAAGAGAGTGAGAGAAGGATCGACTCCAAGGGGGGAAGAGGAGGTCCAGCAGTACAATGATGAAAGTAAGTCTTTCCCAAGCCGCTTCTGACACACAATAGCCGCTTAAAATACCCTTGAAGTCCCCGCCGGTGGCTAGTTTAGAGTGACAGTGACAAGAATAGGGAAGGCTACATGGCTTTAAATTCTTGATGAAATTGCAATTAAGACACCAGAGGAAGAACTGAGCCCGAGGCTGTGCAAGCAGCAACTTAAACACACATTGTGGAGGAGATGAAACTGAAAATGCCCATTAAGTCCTAACCACAGCCTTGTGGGTTCTCTGCTGTGTTAATGAGCAGTAATCCAGTGTTTGATCACATTGCTTCACAACATGTAAGGACACTCTGGGGGAGCTAATGCAGAGCAAAATCAAAACAAAACTTTAGAAGCTACATGAGAAGCAGTGAGGTCTGAGGTCGTCTCAGGAAGCACCAGTTTGCCTGGTTGTAGAAATACTCGCAGGTCTCTTTTACTCCCCTTTAGGGAGCGTTTTTGCACATTTGTCACATGTCTTAAGATTATTGGTTTAATGCTGGCACAAGCTGTAAGATTAACCATGGGAGCCCAGAAGGGGAAGCTGCCTTTTAGTACCCACAATATATATGTAATTGAAAGTTTGACCAAATGTACATACCTCTGCAGTTTTACACTGAAGGCAGTGAAAAGCCGGATTCTCCTTATACAGCAAAGGAGATCTCTAAGAAAAAGGCTTAGGTTCAGCTCGAGGTACGTAAGTGCTTCTGCGTTTTGATTTATTGCTCTGAAACAGCTCACATCGTTCTTATGGATTTATGTGCATTTCCTCTTGATTCCTTGCAGTTACAATGAAACATTTTCCCTGTTTCTCATGAAACAGTACTTCATGCATGTGCTGTAATGTATAAAAAGCATGCTTCCAAAAGTTGCAGAATTAAAAGGTATATCTAAATAAAAAAGTTTGCAGAGACAAAATATCAGAGGTTTGGATTTGAAAGTTGAAACAGGGGCATGTTTACCACCACGTTGCATCACTTCTTCTTTTACCAACACTCTAAGCGTTTGAGAAGCGAGGAGGCCAATTACTATATTTTCTAAAATGTTTTTCCCCACATTTATTCATGAGGTAAGATTTCAGCTGCTAAGAGTTCAAGGCTTCCTGTGTCAACTTCGCTGTGTCAGAATAAATCAGATGTTCTGAATGGTCAGCAGGCAGCTCAGTTTAGCAGCTAGAATCCTTAAAGACATTTTGGAATAAGCAATGATTTCATGTTCTCCAAGGCACCTTCATAGCATTCCAGACACTGGTTTACACTGTGCTCTGGTAATAAGCCAGACGATCCTTCTCCCATTTGGCTCAGTGGATGCCACATCCCCATTTCTAATTTCTTTTTAAATTTCTTGATCTGTTAGACCGCCGAACCCCTTTCCATTTTCCCTCAGTCCTTAAATGAGCAGCATTTCCGCATCTTGCTTGTATTTGTTTTTTGTATTCTTTGTCGCATGGTAACCTAATGGTTTTCAGAAGTGCTTCTGAGCAGTGAATTACACCACAGAGTCAGTTTGCTTTTCTAAATCCCCAAAACGCCAAATCCCAAATTCTCAACATCCTAAACTTTTTTTCCTTAATTGTCACTGATTTGGCATCAGTTTCCAACCTAGACACATTTCCCAGGCCCCACTGAGAATTTTTACTAAACTCTAAAGACATTAACAGTCACCAGAACACATTCGTCACAGTGATTCACCACTGGAGGCAGATGTTAAAACACGTTTCCAGAAAATGAAATCATCAAAACTCTCAACACAATCGGAAAAGAGTTCACCACTTTGTCAAAACTCCACACTTCTCTTGCAAAATGAAACACAGCACTTAAAACCACGCTCTCTCATCTGAAAAACAACTCCTTCCGCTAAAACATTGTATGTACACACTGTACTACATCACCTATTTTAGGTAGTAAATAGCAAAACTAATCATTTCACCTACATAATGCATGGACAATGAGAAACACTATAAAGAAAAACCAGTGTGCAGATGCAAAAGGTAACAAAGGCACTACAAAAAAAA